ATCAGGTGTGAACTATATAACTCTTTTACGTCGATTACGATTGTGGGACTTGGCTACATCATTCACCAATGCATGTGCGGCATATGAGGACATCGCCGGAGTCAGCCATGCAGGTATTGTACTAGAGAATGTAATCATCAATTTAAGACCTGTGTCTGGTCATCAGGTACAGGTGTGAAAACACGTTGTACATCATGCGGCAAGGAATGTGTCATAGGCTCTGATAAAGCACTGTGCAGCCACTGTCATAAGAACAACAGAATATGTGTAAGCAGCAATGGGTCTATATCTATTTTCAATCTGTTTTCTCAGGTCGTATGTGGCGAGAATGTGAAAGGGTTGTGGCTGGCGTGTCAAGTATGCGGTCATGGCGGCCATGCTGTTCATATGAATGATTGGTTTACTTCCCAGAAGTATGATATTTGTCCGTCGCCTAATTGTGGTCACGTTTGCACTCCGACCGTAGCACATCGCAATTCTGCCCCTTTGACGAAGTGCTAATTATGTCTATCCATCCAGGGTGTTACTGTTAGTAGTTGGCGAATTATCACATAAACTCACTTATAAATTGAACAAGGGAGAAGCTTCAAATCAAGGCACTGTAAGACCTCCCAGAATCGCACGATATTCAACAAACTTTAACCACAGTCCGCTCCCCCACACCATCCCTATCGTGCCATCTAAACACCTGAGCAATCCACACATCGGCTATATGGTGTTATTCATACTCACAGCCATCTGACGTGGTATCAACTCGCCGCCTAAGATCCAGTTGATGATTCCTGAACCATCAACATACATGTACGCCTCAATGTTCTCGAGTTCGTGATGTTGTTCTATTGAGGAACCCTTGTTACCCGAAGACCTGGTCAGATAGTGTCTCGCAATAGCAGCGGTATACAACACCATATGAGCAAGGATTACTGGCTCCCTTCCAAGCCCGACTGGACTACGACCAATACTTGCTGCCTCTTGGATCTAACATGCTATAGAGGATTCGGCCATGAGTGGAGGAGTACTGAGTGCATACTAACGCATAGGTTTAAAGAGTCAGTGATATGACATAAGATTGAGCAAGTTGCTTTTGCCGTTGCTTTGGTACTCCTCCATATCCAACTTCTTTGACAACATGTATCCCACTCGACGGGTAGCTACTTCCAGACTGGTTTAACCGAACACAACACAAAATACACAAGAACGGCAGATAATTATACTGTTAATGATCGCCGGGTCGTTAGCTAATAAAATACAATAACTACTGTACTACGGTCTCGACGGCTGTAATAGCTTCGGTGAAATATATTACTCACATAGACAATCTGTACCTGAGGCCAGTAAAGATTCAATCCTCCATCGAAGCGCAGCCCTCTGACGACACCCATTATGCGAGTTCACACTCAATTCACATCACCACAATACATGGAAGTTACCACATGAGTATTCCGAAACTACCACCTAAACATTTGCGAACGATACCCCATGTTGTTATTACTGCTGCTCGAAGCATAGGTGTCGGCATTATGCAGATCATCCTCTTCGTCAAGCTTTCCAATGTCCGTCTCGGAGTAACTGCTGCTACTACTGTCATCGTCATCATCATCCGAACCACTGCTAGAAGTTGTCGATTCGGAATCAGAGTCCATATCGTCATAGCAGCTTAAGGTCTGCACTAATGCTGCAGCTTCCAGGTCTCCAAGACCAGTTGCGATTCTCCTACATTACACTCCATCAGGCATGAAGTGAATCAACATCCCAGTTATTACAGCCACTTCAGAGCTTCTTTTACACTAGCATGTACACCGTATCCGCTCAGAAGGAACCCACCATATTCGCAGCAATGCTAAATATTCAACAAGAGGAGTGCCTCGCAATGAGCATATTCATAAGCTGGTTATTACCATGGCCCTCTCTCGATCAGGGAGACCCAAGTCAATAGCGGACTTCCTGGCATTCTCAGCGAACCTAACCTCACACCATCTGACTTGTCTCCTCAGAGGGATGCCGCGCAACACGTGTCCCTTCTCGGACACATCAATTTTGCTCGGGCCGTCGACGGTCATAGTCTGATCAAAGGGTGAGCAGCCGAATTAAGAGACAAACTGATAATAGACACGTAATGATGCCATGACGCAACCATGAGGTATTGTGAGAGTTAGTATCTCTCATATACTAGAAAAATAAAAAGGGCATGCAATTAGTTAGCGCATCGAGAAAAATAGCATTGAATCGCTTCTACTACATGACGATACAGTTACACTTAGTAGCACACTTTGGAGTAGAACAAATCGCTGTCGATCTGCATTTGAACTCTGCTGTTGCATCATCATAATGATGATCTATACTGTGTCCTGAGGGTGTGGTGATAGCAGCATTAAGTGGGCTTGCAGTAGAGGGGCATGATGATGGTGAAGCTGGAGGAAGGACTATAAGGGATTCTCCTGATATCCGACTCATGATGCTACTACTGCCATCATTATAAGCATCATTCCTCTGTCTAGAAGTAGTAGGACTAATACTGGAGTAGACCAAGGAGTCGACGTCCTCGGATGGCCTACTACCGACAGAAGACGACGCCCGAGCACGAGCTGGTAAAGCGGTAGTGCGCTGTATGGGATGCCATATAGGTTCTAAGGAGGGCCCACTAGATCCATTGGAGACATTCTGAGCATTCGTCTGGAGAGCTTTACCATCTTCAGCGCCCACTCTAATGTCTCGGGACAGGTCGGACATCGCCG